AGGATGGTGTTGAACTTGGCAGTGTTTCATCTCATGGTTTACGTGGCTGCTGTGATTTGGAACCATCTTCAAGGCAATGAATTTATGAGTTCAAATGTCACTTAGGTGCTGAGAGTTTTAATGATGATTCTCATTCGTTCTCTTTATTCCATATTTCCTGGACACCTGTAAGGCCCACTTCTGTGTTGGGGTGCTGGGAATTACCGCCTTTGGACTTAGGAAAGCAGAGAACAGTGGATGAGAAGAGAGATGGGTGAGACAAGAACGTGCTCAGTTCAGTTCACCAAGGGAGGAGAGTCAGGTGTTGGGAAATCCCTGTAAAATGTCAGCTCCTACTGAGCATTTCCAATGGCAACTCTAAGTAGCAGATCACTTCCTAGGTTTTCGTAACAGCAAAAAAAGACATAACGAAAGACAAGCCCTTGAGAAAGTTGTAGGCAGCTTATAGTGAGCAGGAGCTGCCCTCCTGATGCGGTGGAGTGAAGTGGAGTGAGAAGCACACCTCAGCAGAAAGAGGCTGCAGCTTTACTCGATGTGCTTCAGGATACACACGTGTTGGATAGGGTGGCTGGAGTCCTCGTGAGAACCTGTCTCACAAGCCCTCACGTCTAAGCATCTTAACATTTCATCTGTCGAAGGAACAAAGAACTTAAAACAGCAAACAAACAAAAGACCTGAACACTATCCAATCAGATGTATTTTATATTGAACGCACTGCCAACAGACCTCTCTGCAGATCACTGTGTAAGCTGCACCAGGTGTAATATGCATGCCGTTTTCATCAGCAGACACGTCTCTGAAGCAGACTTCAAATCACCCACTGACTTACCGAAAGGAAAGCCAGCAAACAAGCTCGCCGCTGTCTAGCCAGACCCACCTCCTGACAACCCCACCTGGTGCAGAGCAGAACTGGGCTCCAGAGGGTTGTCTGGCTGATGCCTGTACTAAGGAGATGGCTAGGCCTTTCTTACAAAGCACAGTGGATCACAAAGGGCTTGCTTCCCCCCGGCCCTTAGACAAATAAGTCATGAAGTAAGAGAAAGGAGGCTCCCTTACATACATTTCTTGCGTCTTCCGCAGAAATGCTGCTTTGGTCGGTTCCTGAGGTTCGGGCCACTGTGAGGATGCCCACTGTCCTGGTGACTGTGATGGGGGTGCTCCAGGTCCCTCCTCCTCTCCATCACTATGACCTCATTGTGCGTGTGCAAGTGCGGGTCTGTGGATCTCTTACACAGAACATGGGAGTGCGGGCCGCTCCGGGCAGAGATGTTGATCTGCCCTGTGAGGTAGGAGGGGAGCGGCTTTAAGAAGTAATCTGCATCTTGGGTTCTTATCATGCCTGACTGGAAAAACAACAATGACAACACACACACACAAGAAGAAAGAACGTAAAAAAAGTTGTAATTCCAAATTGTATACACATACAATTGTCCAAGCATTATATTTGTTACCCTTCTCTACAGAACAT